GACGGCGCACTTGTCGTCGTCGTCGCCGTCGTCCGCGTCCGCGACGGGAATGCCGACGGGCGGCGCGGGCCTCGCCGCAAAGGTCGCGTTGCCCGCCGGCGCCGGGGTCGGCTTCGGCGTCGCGGCGGCGGCCTTGGGCGGCGCGGCCTTGGCCGCGGCGGCGGCCGCGCGCTCCTCGGCCCAGCGGTGCGCGCGCGCGTCGCCGTCCTTGGCCGCGGCCTCGTCGGCGCTCGACGCCTCGGAGACGGTGACGATGCCCTTCTTCGCGGCGACGAGGCCCAGGAACTCGGCGTCCTGGGCGTCGATGACGAGGCCGTCGTACTCGATGACCATCAGGTCCGTCGGCACGCCCGTGACCGTCGCGACGGCGTCCTTCAGTTCGCCGACGCTCCGGCGATTCGAGATCGTCACCTCGAAGGCCTTGAGCGTCAGCCCCATGTCGACCCACTTGACCTTGACGACGACGGGCGTCCGCGACGCCGCGGCGGCCGCGCCGCCGTCGTCGACGACGCGCGGCGGCGCCGCGCCCGCGAACTCGACCGCGGCCTCGTCGTCGTCGTCGTCGTCCTCGTCGTCCTCGGGCGGCTCCTCCTCCTCCTCCGGGTCGAGGACCTGGGCGTCCGGCGGCAGCTCCTCGACCTCGACGTCGTCGTCGTCGCTGTCCATGGGCAGCTCCTCGACCTCGAGGTCGTCGTCGTCGTCGTCGTCGTCGTCCATGGGCAGCTCCTCGACCTGCAAATCGTCGTCGTCGTCCGAGCCGGGCATCTCCTCGATCTCCGGCTCCTCGTCGGAGTCGGACCCGTCCAAGGGCGGCATCTCCTCGACCTCGGGCTCCGACTCGGACCCGTCGAGCGGCGGCATCTCCTCGACCTCGGGCTCGTCGGACTCGGACCCGTCCAACGGCGGCATCTCCTCGACGTCCGCCTCGTCGGAGTCGCCGGCCATCTCCTCGACCTCCAACTCGTCGTCGTCCGAGAGCTCGACGCCCGGCAGGTCCTCGAAGGACTTGGCGCTCTGCTTCGCGCCCGTC